GCGAAAACATTAATAATTTAAATATCATCACTCTCACCCCTAATCTCCCATGGAAAGATCTATATCCTTTTGTCCTATGGAGCATTTGGCTCAATCGAAATAACAACAATTACTCTAATACAAGCTACAACTTTAATCCAAAACACGTCATAGTTCTAGCAACTGAGTATAAGCTACTCACTGAAAATAAACAAATTACTGTTTCTTCCCATGCAATTAAAGTTGCATGGCACAAGCCCTACCCAAACTTCTACAAACTCAATATTGACGGTGCGTTCAAAGATAAGGACAAATTAGGGGGTTTAGGAGGTCTAGTCAGAGATCATAATGGCAACTGGATAATGGGTTTCCAACACCAATGCCCAGCAACTTCACCTCTTCAGGCTGAACTACTAGCACTTAAGGAGGGTCTCAACATAGCTCTGACGAAGGGTTACACTCATTTGATAATTGAAACAGACGCAACAGAGGTAATCAAACTAATTAATTCTAGGTGTGCTTCTCACGTTTTGATTATATGCACCTGCAGGTGGTTAATACTCCAGCTGAAGCAGCCGACAATCATCCATAATTTCAGATAAGGGAACAAAGTAACCCATAAGCTAGCAAGGGAAGATTTTAAAGATGGAAAGGAACATCAACTCCTACATAGACAACCCCCTTATGTTATAAATAAGCTGGCTACAGATAGGACGGAATGTGTTTATTTTGTTAAGACTATTAGTATTGATGTATGTTGTAGGCTAGCCAACCAGGGCAATATAAATGTCCTTAAGGCTTGTTGTTTTCTGGATGATGTAACAAACAATATTCCGTAGTTTTATATATATATAATCTCCCTTTTGTCAAAAAAATAAAATAAAAATGACTCCATGTATTTCAGCCAAACATTAAAATGAAAAAGCAATTTTTTGGATCTCTTTTAGGTGGAGATGGACACCTCCAGAATATTCATTCCACGGATTGTACACATCCACGATTACATAGGATTCATTTCATCTGTTCGAATCACATAATCACCCATGATATTATAATCATACAGTTATTATTCCATGTATAATATTGAAATTAACTTACATAAAATCACATCTAAAAAATTATATTCTATAGATACCTTTTAATGTTTATAGCAAAATATTTAATTTTGGTTACCTGCTAACCCTAAGCCACTAAATACGCTATTCAGTTACACTATTTTCTTTCTCTCTCTACTTTGATACACTATTCAATAATGAACCGGACTCACACAAACTCTGCTTCACCGACGTGGAATTAAGCAAATCATAAGAAGAAGAAGAAGAAGAAGAAGAAGAAGAAGAAGAAGAAGAAGAAGAAGAAGAAGAAGAAGAAGAAGAAGGCCCCTCATTACCCTGTCTCTCCATATACAATCTATACTTCTGTAAATGACTCGCCACGTTCTCTCGCGTCAGTCCTTCCACATTCATAAGCTGCATAATCGTCTTCGGCACATCGTTTTTGATACCTAAGTGGGCCACCACTTCAATTCTGTGATTTCTACATCTTCTAAGATATGGTATTGAAGGCTTTGACGTTGTTTTTTGCCATTGTGGTGCTCTTATCGGCAGTTGCTTCTGCTCAGGAAGTGACCTCGGCTCCGGTCCAGTGAACGGCGGATTCGCCGGAAATTAGGGTTTGTTCTTGAACAAAGACGACATAGTTTGGGGCTGAGCAACTTGATTTTCTGTTAATATATTTCAATGTATTTTCATGTATTTCATTGTATTCATTATCTTTTTTTTCATTGTAATTCAATGTATCTCGTTGTATTCCATGTATCTCATTGTATTCATTATCTTTTTTTTTCATTGTAATTCCATGTATCTCATTGTATTCACTGTCTTTTTTTTCATTGTATTTCAATGTATCCCGCTGTATTCTATGTATTTCATTGTATTCACTGTCTCGCTATATGCCATGAATATATTCATACGTTTTTTTTAATTAATATAATTTATGTATTCAGATGTATTATATAATTTCTCTGAAGATTGCTATGTTCTTGGGGTATTTTTCGGTTGAGAATCTTTTTTTATAACTGAAAATACAAAATTTGTGTGTTATAATTAAGTTTGTTGAGTTATATTAGGAATCTATTATGTTAATTGATTCACTTTTCGTTTTAAAAACAGTGTAATACCCTATTTCACGTCGTGAATACAATCGAATATAGTTGAATACAATAATATGTTTAGCTGTAATCCCATGTTTCACTCCATGAATACAGTCAAATACACTCGAATACAATAACTAATTAGCTGGACTTCCCTGATCCACGCCTATTTTTGCTACTGTATTCATGAATAGAATAGCTTAAATACATTTTATAACCACAGAAAAAGTATCTATAATCCGTAATATAGCAAATGATATTTATAGATGGCTAATTACTACTAAAAGATAGTGCTTTATGAAAATTAGTTTATTTATCTATCTATCTATATCTATATTATTATAAAAACACGAATAATTTATGCTAAATGTTAAACGACTAAAATATCCTTGAAATATTGATCGACTTTTATGCCCTTAAATATTCGTATAATTTAAGGATCTAATAGTAAATTACCTAATAATAGAATTCTTTTTTAATTTAAACTACACATAGCCCAACCCTACAAAGTAAATCCTACTTGAACTAAAAAAATATGTCCATAATTTTATTTCAAGAAGAATTATTGTTCCTAATTAGAATTCCTTAAAACAAGATACATACTAAAAGGAACATTTAATACTACGCTCTAAAAACAATTAATAACATTCAGAACAAAGTGAAAAATTGAATTTGTATTAGTTCATATAAAGCTAAAATTAAATAATTGTTATCTTTTATGATATGCTTTGTGTTCCTAAATATTAGGAGTTACTACATAATTCAAATACTTTGAGTTAATTTTTAAAATATTAAATAAAAAGAAAATAATTAAATAATAACTTTTTCAAACTAATTAGTCAAACACAAACTGCTTCTCACCAAAAGTATTTTTGAGAAAAACACTTTTGAAAAAAACACTTCTCAAAATAAGCTGATTTTTGCAGCTTGGCCAAACGGGCTAATAATATGTTTCACTTTTAAGAGGGAGAAGTCAAAGTTATAGAAGGAAACATACACCAAAAATGTCATCTATAAAGAAGTATTTTATCACGTTAATTACTTTATAATAATTATTTCATCTTGTAAATAATTTGTTACTAAATTTAGTTAGTTGTTCTTTCACATAAAAGTTCTGGCTAAAGATTTAAGTGTAACGCACGTACATAGTAACTAGTACTATATTAAAAACACGAAGACCCTTAACAAAATGTCATTCATCTTTTTTACCCTTTAAATATAGAGTTCACATTGAATAATACTGTAATTAAATTATTTATCTAATATATAGGAATAACCATTTAAATATTTTCCTACTATTTAGGATTTTGAAATCCCTAAAGTTTGGTGTATAAATTCTTCTATATAATGTTCGTACTATAGCATATTTGTATATATATGTTGCTGGAGATTTTACCTAACAGTAGTGAGAGAAATTGCTTCTTCCTATGTTTTTATTTATCTCCTTTTTTTATTCTGTCAGTTAATTTAATTATTTT